AATGCTCCAAACTAAGAATATTACCTTTAAATCCGTGCAACATGAAGCCCTTCTTCAATTTCTTCCTCCTCCTTGGTCTTTTGATCATGGTTCTCATGATTTGAGGTCAAGAGCTGCTGATCTTTTTCAAAGATACTTCCACCACTTTTTAAGAGTGGAAGCTGATCCATCACAACTGCATTTCTTTTGTAGTTCCAAACAAGCATTGAAATGTAGTCCTGAGGTGAAACAAGACCCTGCTCTCTCATACAACTTCGTTGCTCTTCCAGAGTTTTTGGATCATCAAGTCTTATATATTCAAGTAATGTCTTCTCATGATCCGGTCTCCAATTACTTGGGAAGGGTGTATAATCACACTCAGGAACAAGAGACATCCTTGTATACTGAAGCCCATCAATAGACTCAGCAAGGCCCATTCTCAACAAATTCTGGTACTCAGGTGACTGTCCTTTCTTCTCCTTCAAAGGGCGGCTTAGATTTCGAGAACCAATCTTGTAAACTTTTGCTCGTGATCTAAGTTTGTATTTTGCAGCATAGAGCTTTGCAAGTGAACCCCTCATGATGTAAGAACAAAAATTAACAACTTTCTTGCGATTGTCTGCATACCTATACCATTCAACCATAGTTGACAAGAATTTGTTCATTTGGGCATTGGTGTGAGCTTGAGTAGCATGGAACATTCTAAAACATGGCTGTGGGTCTGGATCCCTATCACCCTTAAGAAAGTTCAACTTCCTAAACTGCTTGATGCACTGTTTTAAGCTAGCTGTGACTGAGAGAAGGGTGCCAACACCCTTCTCACTAATAATCTTTCCACCAGATGCTGTATATCGTAACGTTGGGTACACAACTCTTCGACACAACACATGGTCAAGAAACATTATACCTTTGGTAATGTGTTCAATAGGAAGACTCTCATTGTCAAGCTTGAGCATATACTTCTGATCACAGAACTCTATTAATTGCTTTCTCAATGTGGCTGCATCTGCCCTTGGTCCTCGAATACCAATCAAAATGTGACCTCCATAGCGTATATAATCCATCTTCCGTGTCTTATCTGGTCCGCTTGTTGGAACAAATTCTGGCCAAGATGTATTCCCCTGTTCTGCTTCCCCTTCAGGGCTATTCCATATGACATCACTCTTTGAAGGACGATAAAACTCCTTAATTTTACCCTCCATCCAATGGTCCAGTTCATCAAGACATACATTAACCAAAAGGGAACTAAGAATTCCACAATGTCCCCATGATGGAACTTTCTCTGCCTCCTCTGGAGCAAACCCAAAAAAGCTCTCCAACCAATATGGGTCAGGCTTTGGCTCATCCTCTGCTAATACCCTCTTCTTCTGATACTTCCGCTTTGTCTTCTTCTTCTTTTCCCCTGCATCAACTGGAGTAGTTATCACAGGTGTAACCAAAGCTGATTTAATCAAATCAATAACCTTCTTATCCCTCACATCCCTCATCAAAGCACCTATCACCAACCCAACTTTCAAACCATCCATAATTGTACTTAAGTCCCCTTTTATATACCACAAATAACCAGCAAAATTTCTCCTAATCACCCTCAACACTGAGTGTGCAGTCCTCCCTGGCCTAAATGCAAATGACTTTTGTGAAAACCGTGCCTCATATATTGGCTCCAATATCATAAACAAAACCTCTTGCACTATCTTATCTTGAAAGGGAGCTGGTTGTGTAGTTGTCAATATAGCCTTAATCTTCCTCTTGGACAAAGACTCATAATCAGTCTTATCTCTAGGTGATTTTATAAAGAAATGCAACCTAGCACCCCACTTGAACCTATTATCAAGAACAGCATTCCGTAAGGCTAACAAATCTTCCAATGCAGACCTAGTAATTGAACTACGAGGCATATAAGCTCCCATGTCGTCTGCACTTACTTTCTGATAAGCCAATACCCATAATTCAAACCTACGTTGATAAGATGTTAAATTGGTGGCAATCCTTTCAGGTTCCCGGAAATTCTCAATCCACATTTGGGAACAAACCGAGACACCATCTTCTTTCATCAGGTTTACTGGGTCATCTGGGTCAGGGGCACGCCTGTGCGTTGGAGTGAAGGAAAGCAAGCGGAAAAACGCAAACCCATCTGAGACTAGAGGACTGGAGTGAGAGTAGAGCGCCGTGCTTGTGGTGCGGGTAATACTGGGGCTTCTGAGGATGCGATTGTGGGTGAAGAACTGATTAACACAACCCTTGTAAAAAAAATCTGAAAAAGAGAAAGAGATGAAAACATTGAGGGATTATAAAGGAAATGGTAAAAGAAGCTATGAAAATGAAAATCGAGGAAGGAGACGAGAATGGACCTCTGGCTTTGTTTCCGACATTGAAGTAGAGAGCATGGCCTCTCCCCATGATTTTTCGACTTGATATTGCTTTCTTCCAATTTGGTTGTTCGCCTGAAATTGGGAATGGGAAGGCACAGAGCGAAATTGTAAAATGATTAAAACCCTACAAGGGTTTATCTGAACCGCTGAGAAAAAGAAAATGTTTGGGTGGGCGATGAACTGTATTTTTATGTTCATTCGCATTTACCCAAAAAAAACCTGAATTTTTTAGTCCCATTTTACGTCTCCAATATAATGATTTAAAAAAAAAAGGTATTCTGTTGTTTTTACAGTAATAAAATAAAAAAATATTTTAACCTGCGTTTAAAGAGTAAAATTAAGAGTATAATTATTATTTTTTATTAATTATTATTAAAAAATAAAAATTAATTTTTTTAATAATTATCTAATTAAAATAATTTTTATGATATTAATGATAAAATTAATGATAATTTTTATATTTTTTAATAATAACTAATGTAAAAAAAGCACAATAATTATACTTTTAATATGTACTATTAAGATACCCTACAGTAAAATAAAAAAGACTGGTTTTATTGGAAAATGACTCTTTATTTTTTTCATATTAAGGAATATCTAATTTGAGAAAAATAATGAAAAAAAAAAAGAAAATAGATGAAATTTCTTAAAATAATTAAATTGTAATATTTAGAAATATTTTTTTAATTTGTGCATTTAGAATATAGATTAAAGATGCTTTTTTTTTTGTTATAAATTTATATAGAAAATATAAAAATAAAAATTAATTTTAATATTATTGTTATGTAAATAAATTTAATTAAATAATTAATAAATTAAATATTATTTTTTATTTTTTTAAAACTTATAAACTTAATGCACAGATAATAAAATTTATTTAAAAATACTATTCTTTTAATGAATTACAAATTATTTTTCCTTTTTCTTTCTTTTAAACTGAATATATTATAAAAAAAATTTAAATTTAACACGTTAAGTATGAATAAGTTTGAGTCTTATGATGTGATATGTATGTGTTGAGTAAATTAATTTGATTACAATCTAAAGAAAAAAATACAGTGCTAGTAATAAACTTTGAAGAAAGATTACTTTCTCGATAAAAAAATTTTTGAACTTAAAAATGGAAATAAGTAGAATACATCAGCCAAAAAAACCAGGGCTCTACCCATGAACTTGTGTCCTCCATTTTAAAATAGATGCTTCATAGGAGGGAATTCAAGGGAAAATATAAGAAAGTCATCTCAAAGCGTAATGGCATTTATGTAGACGCATAAACCTAAAACTAAATACATAGTTAACCAAGATTCCTTCATTCTACAATTACAACAAAATTACAAATTACATCGGAATTACATAATAAATGTAGATGATACAAACTAATTTTCCCTGG